ACATCAATATCAGTAGTACAGTACTCACTTCACACTGGTACCAGTAGTACAGTACTCATTTCACACCAATATCAGTAGTACAGTACTCACTTCACACCTATATCACTAGTACAGTACTCATTTCAAACCAATACCAGTAGTACAGTACTCATTTCAAACCAATACCAGTAGTACAGTACTCATTTCACACCAATATCAGTAGTACAGTACTTATTTCACATCAATACCAGTAGTACAGTACTCATTTCACACCAGTACCAGTAGTACAATACTCATTTCACACCAGTACCAGTAGTACAGTACTCGTTTCACACCAATATCAGTAGTACAGTACTCATTTCACACCAATATCAGTAGTACAGTACTCATTTCACATCAGTATCAATAGTACAGTACTCTTTAACACCAGTACCAATAGTACGGTTCTTAGTATTTTGATTCGTGTGCTGCATGTCTGGCTGACTGACCATGTGAATATTCAAATAATATATTCATTCCTTGTCATGATTGGGTCCTTGTTTTGTAACTCAACAGCTGTAGGGGTCATATAGAACCTGAGGAATGGGAAGCATTTTGGTTTGATCCAAGGAAAGATAGAAATGAGTAAAGTTCACTAGATCAAGATTTTTCTCAGCAACATTAAGGCACCTCCCATAAAGGGGTTGCATTTTTAGACTTTTCAAATAGTTGACATTTGTGTAATAGATGATTGTGTGTGTGTATGTACTCACATATATGTGGTTACAGAGGTCGTTCATAGCTCCTGGCTCCACCTCTTCACTAGCTGCTACTAGGTCCACTCTCTCCCTGCTCCAAGAGCCATACCATACCTTTTCTTGAAGCTATGTATGGATTCTGCCTCCACTGCTTCACTCTAGATTGTTTCACTTTCTGACAACTCTAAGGCTAAAGAAATACTTCCTAACATCTATATGATTCATCTGAGTTTTCAACTTCCAATTCTTTCCCTTTGTTCCTGTGTCCCATCTCTGAAACATTTTGGCCCTGTCCACCTTGTCAATTCCTCTCAGTATTTTATAAGTTATCAAGTCATCCTTATCCCTCCTGTTCTCCAGTGTGGTCAGGTTGAGGTCCTAACCTCTCCACATAGGACATACCCCTTAGCTCCAGGATAGTCTTGTTGCAAGCTTCTGCACTTTCTCCAGTTTCTTGACATGTTTGACCATTTGTTGGTTCTATACTGGTGCTGCATGCTCCAACATGGGCCTGACAGACACAGTGTAAAGTGGCATAAATGACTTCTTACTTAGATGCCAAAACACTATTCTTAGGTTTGCCAGGTGCTCATATTCTGCAGTGATTATTTGGTTGATGGGCACCTTGGGATGTACTCAGTATGATTCTCACTCCAAGATCCTCTTTCTGGAGTGAGGTTTGCAGCCTTTGACCCCTAGCCTGTACTCCGTCTGTGGTCTTCTATGTCCTTCCCCATGCTTCACGACTTTGCACTTGGTGAGGTTAAACTCCAGGAGCCATTTGTCAGACCATGTTTTCAGCCTATCTAGATCCCTTTGTAGTCTTATCTGATCCTTTTCTGCTTATATTCTTCTATTTAGTTTCACATCATCTAAGAACAGGAACACCTCTGAATGTATTCCTCTCTTATGTCATGCATAGATACTCCTCACTTAACGTCTTACCTGTTTAATGACCACTCGGACTTACAACCAACTCTCCGACCAGTGTACTGTATGTGTATTTTACTTTCTTTAATATACTAAAAATGTTACAAATGGTGCAAAGGTGACATCTAAACAATATCTAAAGATGGTTGACACAAACCCACTACCAGTACAGTATGCTGGAAATATCAGTAAGGGGTGGCTCCTCACTTAACGACCAATTCGCTTAATGACCCACTCTTAGGAACAGAAATCAATCGTTCAGTGAGGAATACCTGTATACAAGAAACAGCACTGGACCTAGGACTGACCCTTGTGGAACCCCACTCGGACACCTCCTCTCATACAGTGGAACCTCGGCTTACGAACTTAATCCGTTCCGTGGACTTGTTCGTATCCTGATTTGTTTGTATGCTGGGTCAATTTTCCTCATTTAAATTAATTGAAATGCAATTAATTTGTTCCAGCTGAATTCCTGCTCTCAGGAGGCATGACAGAATAACCCTAATACATATCAACTCTACGGCTTATTTATTTGTCACAATTCATCTAATATGACATAATAAACAATATAAATAACATAGAAACCTGATATATACTCTAGAATGAATAAAACATGTCACTACGTGGATGGCGGAGGGAGGAGGATTGTGGGGTTGCGACAGTGGTCGCTATGTACAATTTTTATGTTTACCTTATTACACTATGTACCTGGTCTTTGCTTATCAATGATTTCTTGCTTTAATTCCATGCAAATCATCCTCTTTTTCTTCTCAGCACTGTCCTTTGCTCTTGCTTTCTTAGGACCCATGGTTAGAAGAAAGAAATCTTCCATTTGAACTACTTTTGATGCTACTTAAATCAGTCTTATTGTGTTGTACAGTGTTGAAAGACTTCTTACAGTTCAAGAAGATAGGTTTGCGACACAGGATTTCCCATCGCAGAAGCCATGCTGGTTGTCATATATGAGTGCAAGTGTGTGTAGTCTCTTATCTATTTTTGGTTGCAGGGGTTGAGTCACAGCTCCTGGCCCCATATGTGTGCGCACATATACTCACCTAATTGTCGTTGTAGGGGTCGTGTCATAGCTCCTGGCCCCGCCTCTTTACTGGTTGCTACTAGATCACTCCTTCCCTGCTCCATGAGCTTTATCATACCTCTTCTTAAAGCTATGTATGGATCCTGCTTCTACCACCTCCCTTTCCAGACTATTCCACTTCCTGACAACTCTGTGACTGAAGAAATACTTCCTAACATCCCTGTGACTCATCTGAGTCTTCAACTTCCAGTTGTGACCCCCTTGTTAGTGTGTCTCATCTCTGAAACATCCTGTCCCTGTCCACCTTGTTGATTCCTCTCAGTATTTTATAAGTTGTGCATGTGTGTGCGCATGTGTGTAACATTATATATATACATACATATTTCTTTTTCTTTTAAATGCATGTTACTGATATGCATACAGTGGAACCTCAAAAATTGAACTTAATCTGTTCCAGGAGCTAGTTCTAAATTCGAAAAGTCTGAAATTCAAAGCAATATTTCCCATAAGAAATAATGGAAATACAATTAATCCGTTCCAGAAACCCAAAAATATTCACAAAAAAATACATTTTATAGAGATTAATTACAGTTTTACATACAACAAATACTATAGTTTTAATTATGTATAGTAATACATATAAAATAACATTTTTACTTACCTTTATTGAAGATTGGTGATGACATCTGGAAGATAGGGAGGAGGAGAGAGGGAGTTGGGGTTAGTGTTTGGAAGGAGAATCCCCCTCCATGAGGACTTCAGGTAAAGCCCTCTCTGGGGTTACTTCCCTTCTCTGTCTTTTAATGCCACTAGGACCAGCTTGAGAGTCACTGGACCCCTGTCTCACAAAATAACTGTCCACAGTCCTCTGTTTCTGGTGCCTCTTTAACATTTCCCTAAAATGGGACATGGTTCTGTCACTGAACTTGTTGCAAAGATGACTTGTTTCAGCTTGCTCAGGGTGGTACTTCTGTACAAACATTTGGACATCATTCCACTTGGCACAAATCTTCTTAATCTTTGAAGAAGGCACCTCATCCACTCCCTAAATTAACACCTTTCGCAACATCAGCTTCCTTGATTTTTTCTTTCTTTGACAGGATAGAACCGATGGTCGACTTGTTTTTCCCATACATCCTGGCAAGCTCAACAAGTCTCACACCACTCTCATACTCCTGTATTATTTCCTTCTTCACATCTATGGTGTTTCTCACTTTCTTTACCACAGGGGTACCACTAGCAAGTTTCTTTGGGCCCATGGCAGCTTATTTCACAGTCCCACAAGCACTAAACACAACGAAATAATCGTAAAATGAGTGAATGAGAGCGCAGGTTAGTGTTCACTCAAGCATAAACAAAGCTAGACTGCTCACGGCGCCTGCGCGGGGACGCAGACAGAGCGGGCGGCAGACAGGTCCCGTACAGGCGGTCCGAAAATAGGGGCGCGTTCGATAATAGGGACACAGTTTGTCCGAAAAAATGGTCCTATTTTCGAAACGTTCGATATGTGATACATTCGATTTTTGAGGTTCCACTGTATCTATAATAAACACCTATACTTATGCATGATATGAGACTTGTCTTTTGAATTCAGTTTTGGATTTCAAATGCATGCAAGCTCATATTAATTGCACCACAAAAACGCTGAACTCACCAAATGAATGATGCTCATGAATGAACGTTTATTCACTTAACCTAAGCTATGAAGAATTAACAAGCTTGTTTTAAGGGATTTTTTAGCAATGAAAACTTATAGATTACTGTACTGATTTTAGTGTACATCATGTAGCAATCATTAAAGACTATTAGAAAATGTTATCAGCAGAAACAGTTCATGTCTTTATTATTTATGTCAAATTTAGTGTTTTTATTAGGCAAATACTTGTTTTTTAACACTGGCTGTCTCCCAACAAAAGGTAGACAGGTGAGGTGGTTTTGTGTTTCTGAAAAGAGCTTTATTATTTATGATGTATTACTTTTACGGAAAGCTACAACTTATAGTTTGTCTTATACAGTATTTGTAAATATATTATATGAATAATAGATTTTTATTAGGTGATAATCATGAGTTTGAGCCAGTTTAAACTTGTAGTAGGTGGCTTTTGTTAGGCAAATATTTAAGTTAAAATTATGGGATAGAAATTATTTTAATTCAAGCATTGAAATAATAAGAATGATATCAATAGTTTTGTTATAGTGGTCATCTGTGTTTTACGAGATACACTATTTTACATCTTCAGTTCAGTGGTAAATATTGCAAAAAATGGAACTCTAATTTGCATATAATAGATCCCAGTATTATGTGTGGTCTGTTATAGGTAAAGCTGAATTGGCTCCTTCCCATGTGGGATGCCTTCCTGGTATGCAGTTCATGGAAGAAATAGAATGTGGACGTCACTGTACCTGTCAAGCTGATGGTCAAGCAATCTGCAAGCCTCGATGTCCTGATGTTGAAATACCACCACACTTCAACACCAGTTGTATGCTTGTTCCCAGCCCTGATGACCCTTGCTGTACTGTGCCAGATTGCCATTTTAATTCATTCAACCACAATATATTACACAAATTTGGAGATGTTACAGATAATCCTCCAGTAGAATTTGGTCACAGTGCTTTGAGCAACACAAAGCAAAAAAATACAAATGAGCATGAAAATGTACTGATAATGAACAAGCCCTTTGACAGAAACCAGGAATTTGATAATGTATCTTCTTTAAACCCACCTGATGTTGTGGATGTTAGGTCTTCCACTGAATCCCATCCAAAGCATACTACTGTTACAGAGAATTCTCATCTAGTGAGGAATACACTTATTCCAGAAGACCAAGCAGCATCTGATAGATCATGGAAGCCGTTCATCTCTCTAAATGATTTACTCAACAAGCATAATCAGCTTGGAAATATTCCTCAGGATACTTCAACTGGAGTACCTCCTAGGCAAGTTGAGAACTCGGAAGTAAGTATTGGTATGACAAAAGAAACTTCACCAAATTTGCCTAGCAACCTAAATCAACTCATCACTCCACAACGCAATAGTTCAGTAATGACTGTGGAGGATCAGAAAGACATTGAAATAAATGATAGTTCAAGAGAAATACCTGCTTCTCTTCACTCTAGCTTTGGAAAAGAATTTGGATCTCTTTCAGACACCAAGGATCATGAAACTTCACATGTACTTGATGGCAATATAGAAGATACTTCAGGGATTTCATTTTTACTGCCCATTAAAAATGATACACATTTACCCAATTATGTTGAAGAAGATGGTACTCCATTATCCTTACTCACAAGTATCAAGGAGAATGAAGTTGGTTCATCTCCAGACAAAGATAAAATCTCACATTCTGCAGCAATTGGTGAGCATCAGTTAGTTTTGTCCCTTTCAAATCATTCTGTGGATTCTGGTAATGACAGTATTGCTGAAATTCTGGCTTCAGAAATTTCACCAAGTAGTATTATCATATTAAATGCTTCAGATCACTTCTCCAATGAGCATCACAGAAACACTGATAACTTATCCACTGATTATGAAACTACTTCATATCTACCTATTGAGGATAGAGAAGGGTCACTGTTACCAAATGAACATAGAGGAAGTCTATCTGTTTCACATGAACATCATGCCCATTTATCTCATGAAAATAAAGAAAATTCACATGTACCCAAGGATAATAAAGAGAACCGATTCCTTCACAATGAACACATTTTAGACTCTGATCTCACAAATGAACATATTGATAATTCTCATGTCTCTAAGGAAAATAGAGGTAACACTAATCAGTCAAAGGAAAGATTAATTTTTAATTTATCCTCTATCACTGAAGACCTTTCTCCTCTACCAACCAGTGAAGAACCTCCTATTACTCCTGAAGATGTTTTTGCTCCTGTCATCAACGAGACCAACATTGAGGGTCATATTAAAGGTATTGAGATGGAAAAACTATTTGGGCTATGGACAGGGAACATTTAGAAATGCTTTTGTTGAAGCTTTGGTGAGGATACATTTGTCACAGGCTACTACTGTATATGTATATATATTTGATAAATATTTGTAGCCTAGTCATCAACTGTGCACTTAAGATCATAGTTCAGTCAAGTTTAGTTTCCACAATGAAAAAAAAACAAAAATAGGGTATTAACCTTTGCTGAGGAAACACAGGCAGATATATTTTAAACTACACCATTATATTGGCTTCAAGCGTGCCAGAATGCAGGATCACATGGGCCTTTTGCCTGAAGTATTTTCAGCAAATTAAGCAAGTATGGGGTCACTTGAAGATTTTCCCCCCAAGGAAAATAGTTAAAAATTATACTGATTCTTCGAGAGGTTAGGTAAACTAAACTGTTTTATATTGCATAAAATTTAATTAGGTTAGTTTTGATGAAATGTTAAAAAATTGGCAAATAAAGAATTTGCATAACTTTAGTTAACAGTTTTCCTTGGGGACAGGTAAGGGGCAAATCTTAAGATGATCCAGTGGATGTAATCAGAATTAGTGGGTTGTGTTGCTTATTTATGTACGCTTAAAAGTGTATTATTTTACATTGCTTGTTTTATGGGTAAATATTAGCTGGCTATTGCTGCATTTATTGTGTAATAGTTTGGGTCTAAAATTATAGTTGATAATGTTTTGCTTTTACTAACAATAATCGTAGTGAAGGTTTTATTATTAACTTTCCTGTTGATGTGCTTGCGACGTTCAGTAGTATATTTTTACCATTAGTAAATTAAGTGTACATGATCTTGTCTTGTAATATAAGTGTTCAGTTTGGTCAAGTATAATATGCATGTTTCTGTTCCTCATTTCAACATTTGTGATTTTGATACATTTAGATAAATTAAAAATAAAATTTTATCATGATTAATTTGCTTATGTTGTTTATTTGGTAATCTTTTCATTTATTAAAACAAATTTTGCAATACAGGTATATAAACTAATTTTTTTTTTTTTGGTGTACTGCACCATATTGTATTAAATACACTGTACAGAGGCCAAATTTTATATCAAAGTAATTAGGTGAAGGGTATTTATATATGTGTATTATTGATCCTTTTTATATTATTAGTTGTAATATGGTACTCTTCATTGTGAATTATCACTGTCGTGATCATTTTCACGTGATACTTGCCGGTGGTACATGTGTGATAAAAGATATACAATAGTTGCCCAGTATTGGTGATGTAACGTTAAAATGACACTATTTGCAGAGAAGTTTTGTGAATAATTGTAAAACTCAGAAACATGCATATTGAAAAAAATATTAATAATGTAGCAATGATTAATATCTAATTACTATAACTATGTATTTACTTTAGATGGCACAGATGGTGTGGGCATTGATAAATCAGCGATGTGCTCTCGCAATGGACGCTATTACAAGGCAGGGGAAGACTTCTATGAAGGATGTTCTCATTCTTGCCTGTGCACGGAAAAGCTGGAAGTTCACTGTGCTGCCATCGAGTGCCCAGTTACTTTTGGCCTGGAGCTTATTGATCCTAACTGTCTTGAGTGGGATCATGATCCTGATTATGTTCCTACACCACCGAAGTAAGTTTTTATGTTTTATTTTAAAAAATAAATTTGTGAGTCTTGCTCTCCTGGAAAAGCACTATACAGTAATATAGAAAAACATTTTCTCTTATGGATTTCCTCCTTTCTTACACTTTTTTTTTTCTAGTTTTGTAAATCTACTTTTCCACACAACAACTTTATGTTAATTGATTTATATTTATGGCTAGTATGGAGGTCTCAGACATGACCATGAAAAGAGCATTATTGACTCACAAAAAAGTGCCAGAATCTTTCATATAGGCTAAGAAACTCTTGAGAAAATAAGAACAGTATCCAACAGTAACAACCAAACTTAAGTAGCTAATTTCCTTAGCAATGCAGGCCTGTCTGACACTGATTAGTTCATAGTACTAACCCACTAAGAAACTAAATAGCCCATGGTTAATGAATAGTGTACTGGTCCAGTGATAAAAAAAATAACTATGAAAAACAATATAGACTGGGATTAGTAACCAAAGAACAGAATAAAACTTACATATCATTACTCGCCAAACTAATAAGGAAGTCTAAACTACTATATTATGTGGGTAGGTTTATTGAAATACAAGGGGGTTTGCATTAGGTAGTTGGTTGGTGGACAGCAACTGCCCAGGAAGGTACTACTATCCTGCCAAGTGAGTGTAAAATGGAAGTCTGCACTTGTTTCACATGATGGTGTCTTTTCTCTGTCTCATAAACATGCAGGATTTCAGGTACGTGTTGCTACTTTTACTTACACTTAAGTCACACTACTCGTACATATACACACTCCTCTGGGTTTTCTTCTTTTTTCTTACTAGTTCTTGTTCTTGTTTATTTCCTCTTACCTCCATGGGGAAGTGGAATAGAATTTTTCCTCTGTGTTGTAAGAGGCGATTAAAATGCCATGTGCAAGGGGCTAGTAATCCCTTCTCCTGTATATATTACAGAATTTGAAAGGAGAAACTTTAGTTTTTCCTTTTGGGCCACCCTGCCTTGGTGGGATATGGCTGGTTTGTTGAAAGAAGAAGAAGGGGGTTTGTTTGCAATCATGTCATTTCAATTTCATGAGTCATAAGGGGATATGAAAAAAAGACCTGGAAGATGCTCTCCCAAATTGTGAGAAAAACCAGACAAATTGTTCTAAATAAACCAAATGAACTTCACATTTAGCTTGCTGAAACAGCTACTGTTTAAAAGCACCTCCTTACCTTAGTACAATTATTGATGGCAATATATTATAACAGTAATAATAATAACAAATCTTGAAACCTACTTGTATTCATCCAATTCCATCCCTGCACTTCTTGTTTCAGTTTTTTCTTTCTACTCCCATATATTATATGATATGCTGCAAATGCTACTTTCAAACAGCTGTTGTTCCAATAATTTTACATAGTCGTATCATTGTCATCACTTTTTGCATCTGTGTCTGCAGAAATAATCTTCAGAGAACTTACATTTTATTATATTGTTTTGTATTGTAATTTAATTATCTGGTGCCATTTACCCTGCAAATAGAAATAATTTGTTTTTCTGCAGTATACAGATAATGTAGTTTACATGTAATAAAATATTTTTAGGCACAAAAGACAGCCACAAGCATACAGTGCATTTTGAGCAGACTAACCCTAATGCTTAAAGACTACTTAAGAACTGAATCCCTTCATAAAATATTACCCTGCTCACACTCCAACAGCTTGTCAGGTCCCAAAAACCATTTGTCTCCACTCCTAGCTAACACGTTCACACATGCCTGCTGGATGTTTTAACCCTTTGACTGTTGCAACCCCAAATCCTGAGGTGTCTCCTGGTGTCGAAAAATTTTTGAAAAAAAAAAAAAAAAAAATTATTTTTTCCTTATGAAATGATAGAGAATCTTTTCCTGATGGTAATGACACCAAAAGAACGGAATTTGATGGAAAACTCACGGAATTACGCTCTTGTGAAGTTAGCGACCTTGGTGATATTTATGAATCGGCGATTTTGCCCACTTTGAGCCCTATTTTCAGCTAATTAATTCCGTTGTTCCAGTCGACGAAACTCATAGCTATTTCTTTAGAACTCCATTTGTTCTATCGATTGAGTACAAGAAACTGCCCATTTACCGATTTCAACTACCCAATAACGTGGTCAAAAATTTGCAATTTGGCCAATTTCACACAAATTAAAAAATATGTCCAGAATGAACAGTGCAGATATTCCTGGCTCAAAAATAACATTTTCTTTGTTCATCAGCCACGTCTCCAGGCCCCTCTGATATTACTCTTGCTTTCTATTTTGAATTTTTATTCAAACAAAAAATAGAAGATTTACTGTTATGCAGACTATTGCAATATTGTAATAATTGTGTAAATAATGTCAACCTATTCATGACTGCATATTAGAATGGCTAGTTGGACATTTATTGGACAATGACATCATTTGTTTACTTTTGAACATCGGCAAAAATCAAACATTTCCCCTACTTTGAGCTCCATTTCAAGGTTCTTTTCATAGTAAAACCAATCAAAATCACCTCTATTTCTATAATATGTTTTCGATTCTATTAAATGAGACCAAGAAAACCAAATACTATACAACCATAAATACTATACGAAACCATTCTTTCACATGTGGGCCTACCAGCTTTCTCCTGCTTGATTTGAAGCCGCTAGAATTTTTGAGTATAGTGGACCCCCGGTTCACGATATTAATCTGTTCCTGAGAGCTCATCGTAAACCAAAATTATCGGAAAGCGAATCAATATTTCCCATAAGAAATAATGGAAATCAAATTAATCCGTGCAAGACACCCAAAAGTATGAAAAAAAAACTTTTACCACATGATATATTAAGTTTAATGCAATACAATAATTACAATAACAATAGAATAATCACAATAGAATAATTGACACTTACCTTTAATGAAGATCTGGTGATGATTGATGGGATGGGAGGAGGGGAGAGTGTCGAAGTTTTTAATGTTTAGAAGGGGAATCCCCCTCCATTAGGACTTGAGGTAGCAAGTCCTTTTCCGGGGTTACTTCCCTTCTTCTTTTAATGCCACTAAGACCAGCTTGAGAGTCACTGGACTTCTGTCACACAACATATCTGTCCATAGAGGCCTGTACCTCTCATTCCTTTATGACTTTCCTAAAGTGGTTCACAACATTGCCAGTGTACAGGTTGCCAACACAGCTTGCAGTAGCTGTGTCAGGGTGATTTTCATCAAAAAAGGTTTGCACTTCAAGCCACATTGTACACATTTCCTTAATTTCAATAGTCATTAGCACCCTTGGTCTCAATGGGTTGGCACTAGAAGCTTTCTTGGGGCCCATGGTGACTTATTTTGCAGAAACAAGCACCAAAAACAGTGATAATATGGATAATATAGAATGTACTGAATGTATCCTTAGATGCGCGCACACTGGCTGGCTTGTAAACACTGGACACGTCTCGTACGAATCTTATTGCATACCGGGTTTTGTAACGGGAACAGAGGCAAATTTTTTGCGATATAATGCTTCGAATACTGGATTTATTGGATACTGATGACTTTGCGAACCGGGGATCCACTGTATACATGTATATATACGTCAAACACAGTGGCTCGTAAGACATTATATATATGACCGAAACAGTACAAGGGTTAATTATTCCCTGATATATATAACAATTATGATTTGCATCAGTACTTCATAATGTAAATTGTGCTTGATGATTGCTCAACTATTTAATCATTACTTCAAACTTAAAATTCCTTCAACTTCATTGTTTTAAATTGTGCTAAATTGTAATATGTACACCTACCATCTGACTTACGACCACTCGACTTACGACCGTGTTTTTTATGCCAAATTTCTGGGAAATAAACAACTATTTGTGTTGTACACAGTGTTTATCCTAAACCTTACAGTATAAAATACAGTACTAACAGCATAAAGTAAAACATGAAATACCAAAATAAAACAATAAAATAAAGTCATTACAAAAATGTTTTGTTGATATTCAGTAGTAAAGTTCAACTTACGACCATTTCGACTTACGACCGGTTTCTCGGAACCGAACTCGGTCGTAAGTCGGATGGTAGGTGTACTGTACGAGGATAGTGAGGCTCAAGTTAGAGTATGTAGGAAAGAGGGAGATTATTTCCCAGTAAAAGTAGGCCTTAGACAAGGATGTGTGATGTCACCGTGGTTGTTTAATATTTTTATATACTACACACATCAAAACTGTAATTAATCTTTACCGAACTTACTGAAGCCATATAGCATGAACTAGTTGAATATTCAGTGTTCTAGTATTCACTGTAACTCACCTAATGACCATATGTAAAATTACAGCACTATTATTGAGTTATTAATCTTAAGTTAGTCGTAAGCTTGCCTGAAATGCTCTGCATATGAAGGGGCTTTTGGCAGGTCAGCAAACTGTTACACTCCTTTGTACAAACATGTATCATGCTTAAATAAACTTGTTATTGTTAAAGGCCATGAGCAAGATTGACTGAGTATATACTGTAGTATGTTCAGAACTGACTGATATCCAATGATCCATACTAAGCTAACTTTTTTTTTTATTAAAAGAGTGGCAAACCAGAAACAGGTAGTCGTTTTTTAATATGTTTTGAAATATTTGAACATGTTTTTGTTGTTTAATATTTGTATTTTTTATTTCATCTTTTAGTAGTATTTTTTTTATTTGCCCTTGTTTACAGTTTTTGAGTACATACAAAAGAGGTATACTCTCTTCAGCATGTAAATTTTTCCCATATAATACTAACTCTAGTGATATACTATCTAGGTGCTGTGCACAGGTGAAATGCATCTCATCCTCAGCATGTCAGTACATGGGTCAGACATTCAATAATTATGATCAGATTCCAAGAGAATTGACGGGCTGCTCCCAAGTGTGTACATGCAATTATGGCAATGTAACATGTCATGACCTTTGTGATCCTGTGCCCATTGCCCCACCACCAGAGCTTAACTGTGAACCCCAAAATGCTGTCCTCATTACCCTTCCTGGAGAGACTTGCTGTAGATCATGGCAGTGCACTGCCCATTCTGATATTGGTAAGTAGACAAATATTTTAAAGGATACATGTATATTCTTTCATTTCTGGTTGTTTCAAAGCTGTAGTGTTAAGGTATAGTATGTTCAGCTTGTGTATGAATGCTGCCTTCCTTTTCATTTTGTAATATTCTGTATGTAATTGTTATTAGTGCACATAAATTTCTTTGTCTGAAACTAACCCAATTTATTCTACATTTAATTTTCAGTGAAATAAGTGGAATTTTCTAGAAGTTCATGAGCCATTCCAGATTTTTATAATGGTTTAACCCTTAAACTGTGGAATAACCAGAAATAAAATTTGCTTTGTGTGTGTGTGGTTATTTTTTATTTTTTTTTATTTTTATTTTTAAGTTTGATAGTCGATTTTTCCAAGAAGAATAAAATAAGAAGGAACAAAAAGGATGAAAAGTTAAAATTTTATGGTGTTAAATTTGGCAAGAAACAAAAAAAAAATGATTGCTCGTTGGTACTAGTGGCATAAATGTCTTGGCAATATCTATCTTACAATTTATTGATGCCAAATTATTGTTCTTTTTAATTTTTTTAATGTTTAATATTAGTTTCTTATATTAGATGTGTTTCAAGGTGTTTTAGGACTTTAAACATGAAGAAATGAATAGCTTCACATTGCTCCAGTTGGAATACAGTGGAACCTCGGCTTTCGTTTTTAATCTGTTCCAGAGTCAGACGAAAACCGAATTCGACGAAAACTGAAGATAAGATAAGATTTCGTTCGGATTTTTAACCCCGGAGAGTTAGCCACCCAGGATAACCCAAGAAAGTCAGTGCGTCATCGAGGACTGTCTAACTTATTTCCATTGGGGTCCTTAATCTTGTCCCCCAGGATGCGACCCACACCAGTCGACTAACACCCAGGTACCTATTTGCTGCTAGGTGAACAGGACAATAGGTGTAAGGAAACGTGTCGAAATGTTTCCACCCGCCGGGAATCGAACCCGGGCCCTCCGTGTGTGAAGCGGGAGCTTTAGCCACCAGGCCACCGGGCCACAGCCACCAGGCCACCGGGCCACTCTAGTGATATACTATCAGCAGTATTTTCCATAAGAAATAATGCAAATCCAGTTAATCCATTCCAGACACCCAACAGTATTAACAAAAAATACATTTTATACAGAATAAATAAATATAGTTTTACATACAGAAAACGATGAGAAATAAATATAAATGACTAATTTTAATGATAAATGAACATTTAACATCACACTTACTTTTATTGAAGACTCTTGTTGGCGTATGGAGTATGGCAAGGAGGGGAGAAGGAAGAGAGGTTATTGTTTGGAAGGGGAATCCCCTTCCATAAGGACTTCAGGTATGAAGGAATTATCGGTGGTTACTTCCCTTCTTTGTCTTTTACTGGCACTAGGACCAGCTTCAAAGTCACTGTACCTCAGTCGCACAAAAATATCTGTCCAGAGAGCTCTGTTTCTTGCGTCTCTTTAAGATTTGCCTAAAATGGGACAAGGCATTGTCACTGAACATGTTGCAGACACAGCCTGCAACAGCTTTGTTAGGGTGATATTTCTCCACAAAACTTTGCACCTCACTCCACTTTGCAAAAATGTCCTTAATTGCTGAAGAAGGCACATTCTCCCCACTCACTCACTCCTCCTCTGAAGCAATTTCCTCAGCTGCGGTCTGTTGCTGTTCCAGTTGAAGGTCTTGCAGCTCTTCAGTGGTTAGTTCTTCCCTGTGGTCCTCCACCAACTCTTCCACATCCTGGCCACTTACATCCAACCCCATGGACTTCCCCAATGCCAAAATAGATTCCACAACAGGCATAGGGTTGTCAGGGTCAGCCTGGCATAGGGTGGTCAGAATCCTTCTCAAGGACACATTCTGGCCACAGTTTTCTCCAAGCCCCATGGTGGTTTATTTAGCAGTCACACACAATAAACAAGCACAAAAAACAATAGATTATTATGAAATGTTTTGTATGAACGCGTGGGGTAATGTTCACTCGCCGAGAACAATGCCACACTTACTCAGAATGCTTGCGTGGGAGGCTTTGTGTGCGCATGGCAGGCGGACACATTTGGTATGGTGGACAAAATCTGAGGTGAGGAACGAAAACGGAGACAATATTTTGATGAAAAAAGTTGTCGATAATTTTACTGCAAAAAATGCTTATCATATTTTTTTCAAGGTGTAACAGTCCTCAAAACATGGAAATAAGCCACACAGTATGACTTTCTTGGGTTATTGTGGGTTAATTACTATATTATTATGTAACTGTATTTAGGTTCAAGGGAATATCCTGGGTTATATAAACAATGTAATTTCTATGTCTATAACACCTGTGTGGTTTCAAGACCACTGTAAGTTATATTTATAATGAAACCTTATATTACAATTGTTTTAAGGTGTAATAATCATTGAAACTTGAACATAAGTCACAAAGTTTGACTGTATTGGGTTATCTTAAGTTAAATCTACTTAGTGTGCTTTTGGGCTGAATTCAGCTGTTAATAGTATGAAACTGTAATAAATCTGGAATGGATAAGAAATTTTCTTGTCAGTTCTACATCTTGTTTGCTGGAAGTTGTGAGGAGGTTACAGGAGAATGAAACAGTTGAGCTGAAGTCAAAAATGTTGGCAGGTGGTGTATTTAAAGGCACAAAAAAATTATGCATACTAGTACACTGGACACGTCTTCACCTGCGTACTAGTATGTTGGGCAAAGTTTAAAGGGTGAACATTTAGCAATTCTGGTGTAAGTTGAAGAGACTCAGTGCAGACTTTGCTGACAGATCAGTCTGGATGCACTGGTGTGTTCTCAGGAAGAGACTGGTCCCAACTAGACATCATATAGAGGAGTTAATCTGAATGGCTTTTGGTGTGAAAATGGAGCTCTCTCATGTGTGACAACCATTTTTGACTTAGAAAATAGGAATCTGCTAGAGGACGAGAAGGCAGAAGTCGCCTAAATGAAAAGGTGGTAGGGCTATTTGCAGCTGGTAATGGGGTTAGATTTCCAAATAGGCAACATGCTTTTGTCTCTACCTTTTAACCCTTTCACTGTCTCATTCTTAGGTCTACGTTATTGATGCCAAGGTCTTTTACATAGATCTACGTTTGGAGCACAGGTCACTCAGATAAGCTATGAGAGGTAAATTTTGGCCTGAACATAAGAGATTGATTGGGTCTGTGTGGTGAGTGTTCACAGTACGTATAGAAAAAAATCCTGCCCCATAAAGTGCATGAGGGGAAAAGCAAAACTCTGACCTTGTTTGGTTTAAAATAACAAATTTCAGGTGTTCTTTTTGGATTTTTTATGGTTTTATTGGCTGTTTCTTGGTATCATTTGATGGAGAGGAACCTATAATACTGAATTAGAGATGATTTTAGTAGGTCTCACAACTGGAAGTAGTTTGAAATTGGGCTCACTCAAAGTAGCAGAAATATTAGATTTTTTAGTTTTCCTGAGGACAGATAAGACCCTCCCTATACCCCTTGGTCTGTTTCATGGGTTTTTATTAGGTCTGATTCAATTATTGAGATGCTGTAAACCATGACCAATCATTGCTGGTCATATTTTATCATCTAAGAAATAGGGTAAATCTTTTATTTACTGTGTGATGAATTCAGAATGGAGGGCAAGTGTAATATAGGAGAGGTCTAAAGTGTTCATGTTGCTTTAGTGCCTGGAATGTCTACAATGTTTATGTTGAACTTGGGTTTAAACTGGAATTTTTATACCTCTGTGCACTTTATAGAATGGTTCTGATAGTTAAATTTTGTGTGCTCGTTCAATAGAATAGAAGGCATGCTGGTGAAATAGCTGAAAATTTGATCAAAATAAGCAAGGTAATTAGCTTAAAATAGGACTCAAAGTGGGTTAATTCGACAGTGCATAAATTACACACAGACTGCATAGTAATTCCATGCATTTTTAATCAAATTTTGGATTATTGGTATAATTACCTTCAGAAAAAGTTTCTCTACGATTTCTGAAGAAAAAAATATTTTATTTTTTTTATTATCACACCGGCCGATTCCCACCAAGGCAGGGTGGCCCGAAAAAGAAAAACTTTCACCATCATTCACTCCATCACTGTCTTGCCAGAAGGGTGCTTTACACTACAGTTTTTAAACTGCAACATTAACACCCCTCCTTCAGAGTGCAGGCACTGTACTTCCCATCTCCAGGACTCAAGTCCGGCCTGCCGGTTTCCCTGAATCCCTTCATAAATGTTACTTTGCTCACACTCCAACAGCACGTCAAGTATTAAAAACCATTTGTCTCCATTCACTCCTATCAAACACGCTCACGCATGCCTGCTGGAAGTCCAAGCCCCTCGCACACAAAACCTCCTTTACCCCCTCCCTCCAACCCTTCCTAGGCCGACCCCTACCCCGCCTTCCTTCCACTACAGACTGATACACTCTTGAAGTCATTCTGTTTCGCTCCATTCTCTCTACATGTCCGAACCACCTCAACAACCCTTCCTCAGCCCTCTGGACAACAGTTTTGGTAATCCCGCACCTCCTCCTAACTTCCAAACTACGAATTCTCTGCATTATATTCACACCACACATTGCCCTCAGACTTGACATCTCCACTGCCTCCAGCCTTCTCCTCGCTGCAACATTCATCACCCATGCTTCACACCCATATAAGAGCGTTGGTAAAACTATACTCTCATACATTCCCCTCTTTGCCTCCAAGGACAAAGTTCTTTGTCTCCACAGACTCCTAAGTGCACCACTCACTCTTTTTCCCTCATCAATTCTATGATTCACCTCATCTTTCATAGACCCATCCGCTGACACGTCCACTCCCAAATATCTGAATACGTTCACCTCCTCCATACTCTCTCCCTCCAATCTGATATTCAATCTTTCATCACCTAATCTTTTTGTTATCCTCATAACCTTACTCTTTCCCTGTATTCACCTTTAATTTTCTTCTTTTGCACACCCTACCAAATTCATCCACCAATCTCTGCAACTTCTCTTCAGAATCTCCCAAGAGCACAGTGTCATCAGCAAAGAGCAGCTGTGACAACTCCCACTTTGTGTGTGATTCTTTATCTTTTAACTCCACGCCTCTTGCCAAGACCCTCGCATTTACTTCTCTTACAACCCCATCTATAAATATATTAAACAACCACGGTGACATCACACATCCTTGTCTAAGGCCTACTTTTACTGGGAAAAAATTTCCCTCTTTCCTACATACTCTAACTTGAGCCTCACTATCCTCGTAAAAACTCTTCACTGCTTTCAGTAACCTACCTCCTACACCATACACTTGCAACATCTGCCACATTGCCCCCTTTCCACCCTGTCATACGCCTTTTCCAAATCCATAAATGCCACAAAGACCTCTTTAGCCTTATCTAAATACTGTTCACTTATATGTTTTCACTGTAAACACCTGGTCCACACACCCCTACCTTTCCTAAAGCCTCCTTGTTCATCTGCTATCCTATTCTCCGTCTTACTCTTAATTCTTCAATTATAACTCTACCATACACTTTACCAGGTACACTCAACAGACTTATCCCCCTATAATTTTTGCACTCTCTTTTATCCCCTTTGCCTTTATACAAAGGAACTATGCATGCTCTCTGCCAATCCCTAGGTACCTTACCCTCTTCCATACATTTATTAAATAATTGCACCAACCACTCCAAAACTATATCCCCACCTGCTTTTAACATTTCTATCTTTATCCCATCAATCCCGGCTGCCTTAACCCCCTTTCATTTTACCTACTGCCTCACGAACTTCCCCCACACTCACAACTGGCTCTTCCTCACTCCTACAAGATGTTATTCCTCCTTGCCCTATACACGAAATCACAGCTTCCCTATCTTCATCAACATTTAACAATTCCTCAAAATATTCCTTCCATCTTCCCAATACCTCTAACTCTCCATTTAATAACTCTCCTCTCCTATTTTTAACTGACAAATCCATTTGTTCTCTAGGCTTTCTTAACTTGTTAATCTCACTCCAAAACTTTTTCTTATTTTCAACAAAATTTGTTGATAACATCTCACCCACTCTCTCATTTGCTCTCTTTTTACATTGCTTCACCACATCTCTTAACTTCTCTCTTTTTCTCCATATACTCTTCCCTCCTTGCATCACTTCTACTTTGTAAAAACTTCTCATATGCTAACTTTTTCTCCCTTACTACTCTCTTTACATCATCATTCCACCAATCGCTCCTCTTCCCTCCTGCACCCACTTTCCTGTAACCACAAACTTCTGCTGAACACTCTAAACTACATTTTTAAACCTACCCCATACCTCTCGACCCCATTGCCTATGCTCTCATTAGCCCATCTATCCTCCAATAGCTGTTTATATCTTACCCTAACTGCCTCCTCTTTTAGTTTATAAACCTTCACCTCTCTCTTCCCTGATGCTTCTATTCTCCTTGTATCCCATCTACCTTTTACTCTCAGTGTAGCTACAACTAGAAAGTGATCTGATATATCTGTGGCCCCTCTATAAACATGTACATCCTGAAGTCTACTCAACAGTCTTTTATCTACCAATACATAATCCAACAAACTACTGTCATTTCGCCCTACATCATATCGTGTATACTTATTTATCCTCTTTTTCTTAAAATATGTATTACCTATAACTAAACCCCTTTCTATACAAAGTTCAATCAAAGGGCTCCCATTATCATTTACACCTGGCACCCCAAACTTACCTACCACACCCTCTCTAAAAGTTTCTCCTACTTTAGCATTCAAGTCCCTACCACAATTACTCTCTCACTTGGTTCAAAGGCTCCTATACATTCACTTAACATCTCCCAAAATCTCTCTCTCTCCTCTGCATTCCTCTCTTCTCCAGGTGCATACACGCTTATTATGACCCACTTCTCGCATCCAACCTTTACTTTAATCCACATAATTCTTGAATTTACACATTCATATTCTCTTTTCTCCTTCCATAACTGATCATTTAACATTACTGCTACCCTTCCTTTGCTCTAACTCTCTCAGATACTCCAGATTTAATCCCATTTATTTCCCCCACTGAAACTCTCCTACCCCCTTCAGCTTTGTTTCGCTTAGGGCCAGGACATCCAACTTCTTTTCATTCATAACATCAGCAATCATCTGTTTCTTGTCATCCGCACTACATCCACGCACATTTAAGCAACCCAGTTTTATAAAGTTTTTCTTCTTCTCTTTTTTAGTAATTGTATACAGGAGAAGGGGTTACTAGCCCATTGCTCCCGGCATTTTAGTCGCCTCATACGACACGCATGGCTTACGGAGGAAAGATTCTTTTCCACTTCCCCATGGACAATAGAAGAAATAAAAAAGAACAAGAGCTATTTAGAAAAAGGAGAAAAACCTAGATGTATGTATATATATATATGCATGTGCGTGTCTGTGAAGTGTGACCAAAGTGTAAGTAGGAGTAGCAAGATATCCCTGTTATCTTAGCGTTCACACTTTTAATTTTGGGGCTTCTGACAGTGAAGGGGTTAAAACAGTGATAAATAAGCATGGGCTTACACTTAAAATCATCTGCTGCATTATTGCACAGAAGCAGGCTGAAAAGATCCTTCACTGCCAAAAATCCAGATGCGATTCTCTCTTGCTGATGTAATTTCTAGATGACATTTTCTTACAATGTAATAATTTCTCATCAGCATTCAACACTTCCTTAGGTTTGTAGCCATCCTCAGAAATTTTCTCCAAATCAACCAGGAAATTTTCTGTAATAGTATGGTCAGCAGAGGTACTTTCCTTGCTGAATCTTATGTTATGCAGCCACTGCACACTTTAAAGTGGCTAAACCATCCTGAACTAAATATACACAAATTTTTATGTTTTCCATCTTGCTTGTACAGTTTTATAGTATGACAGGAATTTTTTCAGTGAGGATAAGGCCATCCACACACTTAGTAATCTTCTACCCATATTTTGCTGTAAGGACCTATTTCTTGTTCTTTTCACCATGTCACACTCAGGATTACTCATTGCACAAGATCTTGTCCTTGCCTCATTGCCTCAAATTAAACAAATTGTTGAGTCTCCGACACCAAACACACATGCCACCCTATGACCTGTATACCATCTTTCAGCATCTCAGTAACCTCAAGTTCTTTCAAAATAGGCATAGTTTCTTGCTTAATTTTCTTGTTGGCATCATGAGCTGCACTAGTATTTAAGTACAGTGTAACTGTTTTAATAAGATAGAAAATAGAGCAATAAGCAACAATTGTATGGTACTAATCTAGATACACTGATTGCCTGGGAGATTGTTTGTTTACATCATGTAGTGAAGCTAGGCTTCCTCACACCTCCAAAATAAGGGCATCACCCAGGCATGAAGAGGCACTGTCCTTCTTCGAAGTTCTACATGGTAATGTGCAGAACTAATGTAGATAATAATTTCATTCTGGTGTGCCATAATGGTAATGGAGTGCTACTGTTGGAAATGGGATAGTAAATTTAATTTGCAGGCTATTGAAAAAGTGACTTAGGGTTACACTGTTTATGAGTAGACCATACCTCATGCATATAATGAAAGATTTTTAAAATCATTTGTTACTGTTAGTGTCACTAACTAATCTTCAATTATAAAGGAAAGTTTTTTTATATTAGTAGAGAAATACATACATACTGTATTGTATTGGGGTTCAGTTTAACTTTATATCTCAAATTCAATGATCTGGTCTTTTTTTTTTTTTTTTTGTTGCTTCATAAGTTATTACATTTCATTGGCTTTGTATACTAATACATATTTGAATTACAGTATATGTATACATTATGCTTGAATGTCAGGTATTGAGGGGTCATTTCTGTGCTAGACATTGATACCTCTATGGCTTTCCTTTCACATTCTCTTGTTTATTGATTCTTACATAGCAGAAGTGAATGATACCACAGAAACAACACATTTTGATGATATCACAAATACTCCAGAAGTCTCAGACTTCTCTGTGACATGGAGCACAGCATCAGATGACACCACCATAAGCACAACAGAGATTACTACAACAGGTACTGAAGATTTTACACTGCACGATCACACTTATAAACCAGGTTTGTTTTGTATTACAAAAAGTTAACCATTGAGTTCTTTGGGGGTATCACTGATACAAATAATATATATCACTCACATTAATAACATAGTTTGCTTGCATATAATATTTCACTTACATTATTAATATATTTAACTTGTTATTATATTTCATTACATTAATAATATATTTAACCTACAAAAAATAAGATAGTACATTTACAAAAAACAATATCTTGTAGTATTTTTACATTGGTTCATTGTTTGGCATAAATTACCCTTGCATTATTTTTTGAAGATGCATGAAGAGTAAATAATAAATAGGAATCAAGGAGAAAAATAACAAAAACAAATGAGATTGATAAACAGCAACCATCTAGTGAGGTACTACCAGGAATTGACAGAGTAGACAGGGACAAACTGTTCAAGAGGCAGAAATTGGATACATGAAGGCACAGCTAAAAGTTAAAAACACAGGTGAGTGACAGGGATAGTAGGAAATACTTCTTTAACCTCAGTGGTCAAGAAGTGGAACAACCTAGGCAGCAAAATGGCAGAGGAAGGATCTGTGCATAGTTTTAAGAATAGGTATGATAGGGCTTGTGCAGCCAGAAAAGAGGAAACCCAATAGCAACCAGCAGAGAGGTGGTTGCAAGAGCAGTGACTCAACCCCTGTACCCACATATAGATGAATACATCCTGTCATTAGGGTGAAAAACAAAAGCATGTTAAATGTTGAACACCTTGGTATGTAAATATTATTAATTCTGTTATAGTACAAATGCTTCAAGAGTTCCTTATTGAATATATTTTAATAGAGTACTGTACTATAAGTTATAAATGGCCACCCTCTCAAGAAGAGAAATTTTCCAAATAAAGCAAGACAGAGATGCAGATAGATGGGGACACCTTGTAAAAATGCAACTCACTTATTTAGTTGCACTGCAGTTGTAATTAAAGATAAAGAACTTTGTGCATGTAAGGAAAATCAGAGCTAAGTAGGTTGAAATGTTTAAGATACAAATACGTGTATGATTTCTACAAATCTGTTGAACTGTCAGACGAGCTCCTTTCCTAGCTGCCATAATTTAACTTGCCTGTGCTTTTATCTTCATTTTTTATTTTTTAATTGGAATGAACTGAACTTATAAAAAAAGTGTTTAACAACTTTATAAAACATCTAAAACTTTTTGTTTTTCATTTCTCTGAAGATTTATAGCTGCTTTGGTTTAGTCTGCATGTGATGATGAATTTATATCATTACTTTTGTTGCTGCTAAGTGGACTGGAATTGATTCTTGAATCAGAAATTATGGCAATTTCACAAATGTATTCCTACTATACTAACAGAATTTCCTCTAAATTAAAAAAAAGTAATATTTACATGATTTTTTTTATAGATAAGACTTCAAACTTATATAAACTTAAAACTGTGGAATGCATTTTCTTTTAATAATTAGCTGTGGTGCAAATTATGTACAACAATATTTAATTCCTGATATTCTAGTGGGATGTAACTTTCTCTAAGTGATGTTAACATCTACTTATAGTAATGATGAAAGCATATAAACCATACCCCCGGCCGGGATTGAACCCGCGGTCATAGAGTCTCAAAACTCCAGCCCGTCGCGTTAGCCACTAGACCAGCTAGCCACAATAAGATTCATCCAACTAGGTATATTTCTACACCATAGGAAGGTTAGCACAGGCACCACTGTGACCACAAATGCAAGTTTTTACAGACAAATCTCCAGCTAGCGTGGCCGTGACGAACTCTAGCTCAAGTCCCTTCACTGCCGTCAACATGATTCAAGAAATCGGGTATGGTTTGTTTGCAATCGTGTCATTACGATTTCTTGAGTCATGTTGACGGCAGTGAAGGGACTTGAGCTAGAGTTCGTCACGGCCACGCTAGCTGGAGATTCGTCTGTAAAAACTTGCATTTGTGGTCACAGTGGTGCCTGTGCTAACCTTCCTATGGTGTAGAAATATACCTAGTTGGATGAATCTTATTGTGGCTAGCTGGTCTAGTGGCTAACGCGACGGGCTGGAGTTTTGAGACTCTATGACCGCGGGTTCAATCCCGGCCGGGGGTATGGTTTGTTTGCAATCGTGTCATTACGATTTCTTGAGTCATGAAAGCATATATTTATGCTTATGGGCTTATTCTTGTTAGCCTTATTACAATATTTACCTTAATTTCTTTGACAGTATAAGCCTTCTTGGTAAAATATTATAATTTTGGAAAAGCACTAAACTCATAAGGGTCAAATAGTGCTTGGGATATGAGGAATGAGAGGTAATCAGGTTTGACCCAAGGAAATAGAGGGTAGCTTCAATTCCCTGGATCAAGAGCCTTTTATTGGCATATAGGCACCTCCCTTGAAGGGTTTCAGTACAATAAATATTTTGTTTTACCTGAAAACTAATAAATTTAAATAATCCATTATCAATATATGCTTCTTAATCTTATTAACCAAATTTCTGGGCATGGTGTGTGTTGTGGGCATTCATGTGTATGAGCATCATTCCTTGTGCTCAGAGTATACATGTTGCATGGTCGTGTTGCAGAGTTTGAGTTCTTGGGTACAACGGAGAGGGTAGAGACAACGCAGTTTCCAGGTGATTCTAAAGGTGGGTACAGATGCACCCCCATGTTGTCCTACATGCACAGTCTTCCTTCTTATAATGCTGTTTATCTGTACAAGTAGTTACTACAGTAAATTCTCAATTTAAAGGACCCCCAATTTAACGGACTTCAGGAATACAGAATAGAATCCGTTGTAATAATCAATTCAGAAACAACAGACAAAATTCGTTGGTTACAGAATTGTCCATTATTGTTGTGATCACGGCAAAACAATCATCTCCGTCCACCACAATCTCCATTACTGGCCATCTTCCTCTTCCCAATTAGTCCATTAAATCGAGGGCTTAATATACTTTTATAAATGTATTGCTTTAATGCTAATTTCCTATGTAGAGTGTAACATTACTTAAATTAATATTTGCTGCAGTACTTCTCAGTCTGTTCTACTAATCTCAATTATATTTAAACTGTAAATTCAGTTTTCTGTATTGGCATTAATTTGTTTGAAATGTTGTGCATACTGTTGAGCTTTGCACTAGTAATGTATACACGACATTGTTTGCTTTTAAAAAAACTATACCCAAAATGTATTGGCTTTATTGCAAATATTGTCTTTGTGTTGTCTTCCTTGCCTCACTTTGTAAGGCAGTGGGTAAAATGAAAGGGGCTGAAGTGGCTGGGACACATGTAATTAAGATAGATGTTGAAAGTAGGTGAGGGACAGTGTTGGAGTGGTTGGTGTATTTGTTCATTATATGCACAAAAGAAGGTAAGGTACGAAAGGATTGGCAGAAAACATGCATAGTTCCCTTGTATAAGGAAAAGGAGACAAAAGTGTAAGAATTGTAGGGAGATAAGACTGTTGAGTAGAATGGGTTAAGTGCATGGTACAATTATTGTTGAAAGGGTTGGGGGTAAGACAAACAGTAGGACTGCAGAAGAGCAGGGACTACTTAGAAAGGGTAGGGGATGTGGAGCCCAAGTGTTTACATTGAAGCATATTTGTGACCTTTACTTTGCATTTATGGCTTTAGAAAAGGCATATGTTAGGGTGGATAGAAACACCGTGTGGCCAATGTCGTAAATGTACAAGATACTAGGTATAGTGCTTGTCATTAGAGTATGCCAAGTGGAGGTGCCCAGTATACTTTAATGTCATAATAATACTCTACCTTGGTAGGTATTTAGGTGCAAGAAGAATTAATGTTGGGAAGCAGATAGCTTGCGAGTGAGGAGGGGGTGCATCAAATGGCCCCATACTTCCCTGATAGCACACATTTCAACTTCTTATAGGGGCTTGTGTAAGATTTTTTTTTTTCCAGATACCACTTGTTTATATTAAAATATTCCACACTAAAATAAATCATGGCATCTAAAGTGTCACACCAGATATGATGGCTAATACCTGGAATGGGGACTGTAGTCTTGATGAGATGTGTTATGGGTCACAAGAGGTGCTATGGGTCACAAGAGGTGCACTTGCCATGTAATAAATTTATATAACTGGAAAAGGATTTTGTGAGCTCAAAGAGACAACTTTTTATAGTGCTGCTTAATGTATTTCATTTTAATCAGGGGGAAGTGCTAAGCTCATTGAGGTCATTTAGCACCTGGGGAAGGGGAAAAAAAAAGGCATTTAGGTTCAATCCAAAGAAAAGAGGGGTAAGTCCAGCTCCTTGAATCAAGAGTTCCTTATTAGCATCAAGGTACCTTCCTTGAGGGAAGGGCTTTTCCAGTCAAGGCTTGCCTGTACTTTTTTGTGAAGCAGATTGGCAACAGTGCTATATAATGCAGTGCTCTTAGGTAAAGCTGCAGAAACGATGTCATTTGCAATTTGATTAACTATGATAATAAATTTATTAGCATTAAATGTTTTTAACATTTGAAAATTTAAATTGGATTTTTCACATCAGTGCAATATTCTTAGCTTAGACATCCACTTAGTCTGTGAATTATTATTTCTGAAAATACTTGAATTTCTCTTTCAGAGCACTTGTGACATTTCTAAAACTCACTTGACAAAGTATGCTTTTATCACACCCATGTTTTTGTTTACTTGGTTGTAAATGTTGCATGAAATAATTTTTTTTTACTATTTTTGTGATGTTATAACTGAAATAATTAATTGCCTATTTGTTTCAAGTTTCATGTGACTGAGCTCAGTAGCACAGTCAGGATTTCATTCTGGGAGGCATAAATATGATAAGATGCTGAAAAAAATCAAAGAAATCATTTTTAAAAATATATGATTTTCAGTATGTGGAATTTCTTAAACTATCGTGCTTCTGTGGTCACTGGTTAAAATAATAAAAATTAGCCATTAACTGGAAAAAAAATTGCAGTACGTATTTGCTTCTGGGGAGTGCTTTAGCCCCCCCTTCCCGCATGGTTGTGTCACTGACTGAGCTACTAAATATTATTGTAGCTTGTTTTGCAATTTTTTTAGTGCATGTTTTATTAGTTTACAAATTAGAAATAAAATTATTATCACAGGAATTACTAAACCCCTAAGGGTCATACACTTCCTGGGGATTGGTAGGTAATCAAGTTTTATACAATGAATGGGAGGGCAACTCAGATTCCTTGGATCAAGAGCTCTTTACCACCATCAAAGACAACCCCCATATCCCCTCCCTTGAAGGGTTAGAGGTTAAATGTAAGAGTGATCCAGCATTTTTCTGTTTGCTCATATTTTTATTTTAATACATAAGTTTGATCTTTTCATACTGTGCCTTTATCAAATTTATTATCACATTTTTATTATGCTTAATTTCAGTGATTTCATCTGTACTGCATTGATGAAATCTACTTTTTTTCTACCACCATTCTTGATTTTTTTTCCCTGTACAGTAAAATCTCGTCCCTCCTCTACAAGTACCTGATATATGCCTAAACAATAACCTGATCCAACTCCATTCTCCTAATATGTTACAAGGAAAAGATGCTTCTTTCCTTCTAGTGGCTAATCAAGTGCATGTGGTGTTTTAGGTGCCCCTGCGATCTTTCCTCTGCCGCCTGTGTCTGTATTGAGTGGCAAGCCTACTTCTTCTGGCTTTGTCCCCATTGTTCCTCCTGCAGCCCCTAGCTTTGGTACAGGTGCGTGTCTATACTTCTTGGTGTGTCTGATTTCGTCTTCATTATTTTTTTATTTAATTCTTTACTATTGGTCAGTTATGATATTCTAGCCAGTGTGAACAGATCTGTATTTCTTTTGCATAGCATCAAATTCTTTATCATTTGCTATGAAAACTGTTAGATTAATAACTTTAAACATGACCTGCATGCTATCTTCTTTGCAATAGCTAATTCATTCTGTTCCCTCTCTTAATTAACCAATAATAGTATAAAATGTCAGAAAGAAGTGGAAGGTGAGAGAGGAGGGAATGAGAAAAGGCTAGGCATCAGAAATTTTACTTTGGTTATAGCCTTCTCCAGGACATTACTCCATCAGCACTCATTCATTTTTCATTTGGAGAGGGTTGTCTAATATGAACAGCAGAAAAATCAACTGTCCAAATGAATGATCTGGCCCATAACTGACTCAAACTTACTGATATGTATACAGTATACAGTGACCCCCGGTTAACGATATTTTTTCACTCCATAAGTATGTTCAGGTGCCAGTACTGACCGAATTTATTCCCATAAGGAATATTGTGAAGTAGGTTAGTCCATTTCAGACCCCCAAACATACACGTACAAACGCACTTACATAAATACACTTACATAATTGGTCGCATTCGGAGGTAATCGTTATGCGGGGGTCCACTGTATATGTTGTCTAATTCTACAAGAAGTACACACATATAAGTTAATTATTATAAAACTATAGATAGGAACAGTTTTTGAAATGAGCCTAAGTAGGCTTATAGCTCCTAGTTTGTAAAATGCATTCAGGAAATCTTAGCTTAACCCATGCAGAATCCTGAAGTACAAAAATAGAGTAAGAGGGAGGGACATAGGTGAGTGGAAAGAGGCTGTAAAAGTTGCAACATTTTGTAGTGGGCCATGCAGATCAATAGTTATGCTGTAAGTATGAGGTAGCTGTCAAATGTGATTTTGTCCACATTGCTTGCATAGTGATGGCAACTGCACATGGGGTTAAATAAAGATCTCCACTTTGGAGATTATGCAGATTTCTCCTGCACACTCCTGAAAAGATTGTGTAAGGAAGACTGTTCGTAGAGCAAACAACTATCAGATGGTTCGAACTGAATTGAGCATGGCAACTTTGATGATAAATGTGAAATCCTCATAATAGCAGATATAATTAGCAGCCACCATGATCATAATTTTATTAATGAGTCTAAACATGGATTCACAAGGAACTGATCATCCTGTATATGAACATTGTGACCATGGTCATGTAATTGGTGAAACGTCTTTAGTGTGGCTAGCTGATAATTAGTACAGTATAAGCTATGGCAGGAAAAGAGGGACTACAAATGTATAAATTCAAGGATTATGTGGAGTAAAATAAAGACTGGATGTGAAAAGTGGGTTATAGTAAGTGTGTATGCACCTGGAGAAGAGAGAAGTGTAGAGGAGAGAGAGAGATTCTGGGAAATGTTGAGTGAATGCGTGGGGAGTTTTGAATCAAGTGTGAGAGTAATGGTGGTTGGGGATTTCAATGCTAAAGTGGGTAAAAATGTTATGGAGGGAGTAGTAGGTAAATTTGGGGTGCCAGGGGTAAATGTAAATGGGAGCCTTTAATTGAGCTATGTGTAGAAAGAAATTTGGTAATAAGTAATACATATTTTATGAAAAAGAGGATAAATAAATATACAAGGTATGATGTAGCACGTAATGAAAGTAGTTTGTTAGATTATGTATTGGTGGATAAAAGGTTGGGGTAGGCTCCAGGATGTACATGTTTATAGAGGGGCAACTCATATATCGGATCATTATTTAGTTATAGCTACAGTTTTGAGTAAGAGGTAGATGGGAAAAGAGGAAGGTGGCAACAACAAGTAAGAGGGAGGTGAAAGTGTATAAACTAAGGGAGGAGGAAGTTCGGGTGAGATATAAGCGACTATTGGCAGAAAGGTGGGCTAGTGCAAAGATGAGTAGTGGGGGGGTTGAAGAGGGTTGGAATAGTTTTAAAAATGCAGTATTAGAATGTGGGGCATAAGTTTGTGGTTATAGGAGGGTGGGGGCAGGAGGAAAGAGGAGTGACTGGTGGAATGATGAAGTAAAGGGTGTGATAAAAGAGAAAAAGGTAGCTTATGAGAGGTTTTTACAAAGCAGAAGTGTTATAAGAAGAGCTGAGTATATGGAGAGTAAAAGAAAGGTGAAGAGAGTGGTGAGAGAGTGCAAAAGGAGAGCAGATGATAGAGCGGGAGAGGCACTGTCAAGAAATTTTAATGAAAATAAGAAAAAATTTTGGAGTGAGTTAAACAAGTTAGAAAGCCTAGGGAAAGTATGGATTTGTCAGTTAAAAACAAAGTAGGGGAATTAGTAGATGGGGAAAGTGAGGTATTAGGTAGATGGCGAGAATATTTTGAGGAACTTTTAAATGTTGAAGAAAGGGAGGCGGTAATTTCATGCACTGGCCAGGGAGGTATACCATCTTTTAGGAGTGAAGAAGAGCAGAATGTAAGTGTGGTGGAGGTACGTGAGGCATTATGTAGAATGAAAGGGGGTAAAGCAGCTGGAACTGATGGGATCATGACAGAAATGTTAAAAGCAGGGGGGATATAGTGCTGGAGTGGTTGGTACTTTTGTTTAATAAATGTATGAAAGAGGGGAAGGTACCTAGGGATTGGCAGAGAGCATGTATAGTCCCTTTATATAAAGGGAAAGGGGACAAAAGAGACTGTAAAAATTATAGAGGAATAAGTTTACTGAGTATACCAGGAAAAGTATACGGTAGGGTTATAATTGAAAGAATTAGATGTAAGACAGAATGTAGGATTGCGGATGAACAGGGAGGCTTCAGAGTGGGTAGGGGATGTGTAGATCAGGTGTTTACATTGAAGCATATATGTGAACAGTATTTAGATAAAGGTAGGGAAGTTTTTATTGCATTTATGGATTTAGAAAAGGCATATGATAGAGTGGATAGAGGAGCAATGTGGCAGATGTTGCAAGTATATGGAATAGGTGGTAAGTTACTAAATGCTGTAGAGTTTTTATGAGGATAGTGAGGCTCAGGTTAGGGTGTGTAGAAGAGAGGGAGAATACTTCCCGGTAAAAGTAGGTTTTAGACAGGGATGTGTAATGTCACCATGGTTGTTTAATATATTTATAGATGGGGTTGTAAAAGAAGTAAATGCTAGGGTGTTCGGGAGAGGGGTGGGGTTAAATTATGGGGAATCAAATTCAAAATGGGAATTGACACAGTTACTTTTTGCTGATGATACTGTGCTTATGGGAGATTCTAAAGAAAATTGCAAAGGTTAGTGGATGAGTTTGAGAATGTGTGTAAAGGTAGAAAGTTGAAAGTGAACATAGAAAAGAGTAAGGTGATGAGGGTATCAAATGATTTAGATAAAGAAAAATTGGATATCAAATTGGGGAGGAGGAGTATGGAAGAAGTGAATGTTTTCAGATACTTGGAGTTGACGTGTCGGCGGATGGATTTATGAAGGATGAGGTTAATCATAGATATTGATGAGGGGAAAAAAGGTGAGTGGTGCGTTGAGGTATATGTGGAGTCAAAAAACGTTATCTATGGAGGCAAAGAAGGGAATGTATGAAAGTATAGTAGTACCAACACTCTTATATGGATGTGAAGCTTGGGTGGTAAATGCAGCAGTGAAAGAGACGGTTTGAGGCAGTGGAGATGTCCTGTCTAAGGCAATGTGGTGTAAATATTATGCAGAAAATTCGGAGTGTGGAAATTAGGAGAAGGTGTGAGTTAATAAAAGCATTAGTCAGAGGGCAGAAGAGGGGTTGTTGAGGTGGTTTGGTCATTTAGAGAGAATGGATCAAAGTAGAATGACATGGAAAGCATATAAATCTATAGGGGAAGGAAAGAGGGGTAGGGGTCGTCCTCGAAAAGGGTTGGAAAGAGGGGGTAAAGGAGGTTTTGTGGGCGAGGGGCTTGGACTTCCAGCAAGCGTGCATGAGCATGTTAGATAGGAGTGAATGGAGATGAATGATACTTGGGACCTGACGATCTGTTGGAGTGTGAGCAGGGTAATATTTAGTGAAGGGATTCAGGGAAACCGGTTATTTTCATATAGTTGGACTCGAGTCCTGGAAATGGGAAGTACAATGCCTGCACTTTAAAGGAGGGGTTTGGGATATTGGCAGTTTGGAGGGATATGTTGTGTATCTTTATACATATATGCTTCTAAACTGTTGTATTCTGAGTGCCTCTGCAAAAATAGTGATAATGTGTGAGTGTGGTGAAAGTGTTGAATGATGATGAAAGTATTTTCTTTTTGGGGATTTTCTTTCTTTTTTGGGTCACCCTGCCTCGGTGGGAGACGGCCGACTTGTTGAAAAAAAAAAAAAATGGGCATATGTTTGTTTTCACCCACTGACTGGAGTCAGCTTGATTGCAAAAAAAAATTGCTTGTACTGTATTTACAATTGAGGTTAGACCCTAATGGAAGTGTGGTCTAGAGCTAGACTATTTTGATTAAATGTAAAGAGGCATGTGGGTGTAGAAAAATTTTAATGGCCTGAGAGAGACTGGTTAGATCTCAGGAAACAGCAGTGATAACAGAGTTAATTTGTTAGGAATCATCCTGGAGGCATCTTGCAAATCTGATTGCTAGCCTTTAATCCTGAGAGTAATATACAGCTCCATATAATGTAGTACAGTATTTTAAATAATTAGATCCCAAAGCCAAGGGACAAGAAGATTAAGCATGGGTTGATGTTCAGTGTTTCTGCAGCTTCAAGGAGTTTTCCACATTGGAGAACCTAGCGATCTAAATATTTGCCCACTATGGTATATTTCCCAGTGTACCTCACCCTAAACAGATACCGAGACAACACATGCCACTTTTATGACAACTCCTGTCATGGGTAATTAGTGACCAGTACAGAAGTGACAGGAGTCAGTGGTGAATATTAGAAATCTAAGCAGTATGCCTATCATCTTCGTCTGCCAGGAAAAAAAACAAAATACAAAGCCTCCTCCCCCACTGTGACAGAATTACTTTCAGGGGATTTTCACTTAGAAGTAATCTTTTTTAATCCCTACTTTGCTACTTTACATTTGCACAGAAGCACAATCACCATATTTACTTATGTGTATGGCAAATTATTATCATCTTACTTTTTTTTAGTAATTTCTCTTAATTAATTATGGGAATTAAACCACTTGTCATCTTCTGTATAATTTTTTTTATTTTTCAAATGCAATACTTATTTCTATCTTTTCTAACTTACAACTGGAGTAGTCTACTACGACTGCGCAGATGAATTGTTCAATTAATGATGTGAAGTAATTATATACTATAATTACTGCACTCCTAACTTTGTATAGACTGTATGGCTTGCAGATGAAATGTGTTATCCTTGCATGTTGCCTGAGGATTTCATCCAGGGATGAATTAATTTTTTAGTGAGATCTTCATTTTGAAATTTCAATTTTCCAGGTGGCATCAGTGAGCCTCATACCACCTCACTGGACCCAAGAACTGTTCACTTCTTCTTCTCGACCCCTTCACTTTACCAAGGCCTTCCTGGCGAATTGCTCATTAGGTTTACGTCTGACCCAACGTAAGTATTTTTTTTACACATATATTCAAACCTTAACCTTTAAACTGTCCAAGCAGATCTATGTTCACATATGTAGTGCTCCAAAAGTAGATCTACGTTTTTTTACATATTTTCAAATATAAAAAAAAAAAAAGTAGATCCAAAGTTATTTTACACGTTTTCAAATGTAAAAAAAAAGAAGATCTACTTGTTTTACATACTTTCAAATGTTGAAAAAACGTAGATCTACGTTTGGACAGTTTAAGGGTTAAAGGGGCATATTTTCAATCATTTTCTTTTTTTATGAACACATGCTCACATATGTTTAAGAATGCTCCTGGCATAGATGAGGTGCCACCAGCACACTATTTAAATAAAAAAAAATTAACACTTCACTACCTACACATTAGCCACATTTCACTAAGACAGAGAAAACAAAATCACCATCACTCATTCCCATGGACATCACAATTTGAATGATCCACTCATAGCAGCCCTCTTCATTCTTCAATTTTATCTTACATAAATTAGATATAAAACATCTTTTTATACAGGTATCAAGACAAACACTCTTTATTTTTCCAAATTTTGTTAAACAAAGATTTGCCAAATTAACAGTATTGCAGTGATATTTTTACCATCAGTGTTCTCATTAGTTAGTAATCTTAAGAGTACTCATTTTTTTATCTTTAGTGGCGATTAACTTTGTTCCAGCTGTTTTCTATCCATCTCCCTATACCATTCTGGGTAAGCAGACTACATGTCATCCTGATAAAGGGAGTTTACTCTAATCCCATGGGTGTCATATCCTTCCATCTGGCTGGGACTGCCTACCCTGGGATGTTAAGCCCCCCCTGAGATAAAACAGTTTATTTAACCCGTAAACAGTCCAAACGTATATATACGTTCACTACCCCAGTGCCCTGAATATTTTGAAAAATAAAAAAATAGTTTTTTAATGAAAATAAAGAGCACATTTATAGGATAAAAAAAAAATTAGGGTCAGTACTATGAGGCAGAGAAGTTAGCACTGGATGCTCACGTGACAGCAACGTTGAGTCCTGTCGCTTGCAGAAGTGCTGCTGATATACCTTTTTTTCTGTTTTTCATATTACTATTTTATATAATTTTTATGTTCTGATAATTACAATTTATAGTAGTTCTTGTTATTTCATAACCAATCTTTGTTCTGACATTAGTATTAGGTACTGAAATTGTACTTAAATTGTCACAAACACACTGACAGGTGGACATTTACACCTGCCTTGGCCACTTACTATTGTCTTGGAATATATACAAAGTATTTATAGGCCCCAGCAATGTTCTGGATATGTGGAAGTATATAATAATGATAAGAAGAAGAAAATAATAATAATAATAACAATAATACGTAATAACAAGTTCCCTTGAAGCATGAAAAACAAGCCTCAGTGACATGAGATAACATGACAGTGACATGAGATAACATTAGATAAGAGCTGACATTTGATGATCATACGCGAGGGTGCAGTGATAAGACTAGATAAGATATGATTAGAGGTGACATTGATGAGCATCGGCCCTTGCTTTGTTTTCACTGGTACACAAACATGTCTGTCTATTTGTCTGTTTGTCAAGCTCCCTGTCTATCTGTTTATCCATCTCTCTCTCTGTCTCAGAGAGAGCCACAAGACTCTCATCACGTTTACTCATATCTTCAAGCAGAGTATAGCACTTCGTCTGGAATTTTTGGGTTATCCTAGGTAATTTGCACTATGTATACTTGTATTTATGTGTACCTGTGAGACAGAGATAGATAGAGACAGAGAAACAGATAGACATAGACACAGACAAACAAATGGAGCCAAGCCGCCAGCAGCCAGCCAACTAGTCAGCCTGCTGAACAAGTACAGTGGAACCTCTACTTGCGAGCGCATTCACGTGCGAGTTTTTCCAAATATGAGCAGGCGATGGGTTGATTTTTTTGCTTCCATACACGAGCAAAATTTCCATAAGTGAGCAGACCTCAAGGCAGGTTTCTTGACACTGGTGAGGGGCTCTTGCTCTTGATCTAGGGAATTGTATCTCATTTGTTTGTTGGACTATCTTATTGAAACTTGGGCAATGTATGATGGAAAGATGCTTCTTAATGTACACCAAAATGAAAGAAATCTAAGAATAAATAATGGAGTTAACTTCTCAGCAGTTAGCCACCCCTTAGCGGTATTTTCGTATGGTTTTTATGGTTGTATTCTCATTTTTTTTGTCTCATTTAATATAATGGAAGATATATTACAGAAATAGATATGAGTCTGATTGCTTTCACGACGAAAAGTACCTTGAAATTGAGCTCTACGTAGGAGAAATGTTCCATTGCTTGGCTGTGTTCAAGAGTAAACACTGTCCATTCCGATATGCAGTTGTGAATGGGTTGGCATTATTTATACAATTATTGCAATAAGGCATAACAGTAAATCTTATATTTTTTGTGTGTGAATAAAAATTACAAATTATTTATATTGTAATAATAATACGTAATAATAATAATAATATGTAATAATAATACGCATAACAATAATAGTATAATATAATACAATAATAATACGTATAATAATAATACTTCTTTCTTCTTTCAACAAACCGGCTGTATCCCACCAAGGTAGGGTGGCCCAAAAAGATTTTTAAATTTAGTAATTTGTGCAGGAGAAGGGGTTATTAGCCCCTTGCTCCTGGCATTTTAGTCACCTCTTACAGAGGAAGAATTCTATTCCACTTCCCCATGGAGATAATAGGAAATAAACAAGAACAAACACTAGAAAGAAAATAGAAGAAAACCCAGAGGGGTGTGTATATAAATATGCTTGTATACATGTATGTGTAGTGTGACGTAAGTGTAAGAAGTAGCAAGAGGTACCTGAAATCTTGCATGTTTATGAGACAGAAAAAAGGACACCAGCAATCCTATCATCATATAAAACAATTACAGGCTTTCGTTTTACACTCACTTGGCAGGACGGTAGTACCTCCCTGGGTGGTTGCTGTTTACCAACCTACTACCTATATAATAATAATACATTTTCTTGTTGAAAAAAAAAAAGTCGGCCGTCTCCCACTGAGGCAGGGTGACCCAAAAAAGAAAGGAAATCCCCAAAAAGAAAATACTTTCATCATTCAACACTTTCACCACACTCACACATAATCACTGTTTTTGCAGAGGTGCTCAGAACACAACAGTTTAGAAGCATATACGTATAAAGATACACAACATATCCCTCCAAACTGCTAATATCCCGAAACCCCTCCTTAAGAGTGCAGGCATTGTACTTCCCATTTCCAGGACTCGAGTCCGGCTATATAAAAATAACTGGTTTCCCTGAATCCCTTCACTAAATATTACCCTGCTCACACTCCAACAGATCGTCAGGTCCCAATACCATTCGTCTCCATTCACTCCTATCGAACACACTCATGCACGCCTGCTGGAAGTCCAAGCCCCTCGCCCATAAAACCTCCCTTACCCCTTCCTTCCAACCTTTTCGAGGACGACCCCTACCGTGTCTTCCTTCTCCTATCGATTTAAATGCTCTCCATGTCATTGTACTTTGATCCATTCTCTCTAAATGACCAAACCACCTCAACAACCCCTCTTCAGCCCTCTCACTAATACTTTTATTAACTCCACACCTCCTAATTTCCACACTCCAAATTTTCTACATAATATTTACACCACACATTGCCCTTAGATAGGACATCTCCACTGCCTCCAACCATCTCCTTGCTGCTGCATTCACAACCCAAGCTTCACACCCATATAAGAGTGTTGGTAGTACTATACTTTCATACATTCCCTTCTTTGCCTCCAAGTACATGTATAACGTTTTTTGACTCCACATATACCTCAACGCACCACTCACCTTTTTTCCCTCATCAATTCTATGATTAACCTCATCCTTCATAAATCCATCCGCTGACACGTCAACTCCCAAGTATCTGAAAACATTCACTTCTTCCATACTCCTCCTTCCCAATTTGATATCTAATTTTTCTTTATCTAAATCATTTGATACTCTCATCACCTTACTCTTTTCTATGTTCACTTTCAACTTTCTACCTTTACACACACTCCCAAACTCATCCACTAACCTTTGCAATTTTTCTTTAGAATCTCCCATAAGCACAGTATCATCAGCAAAAAGTAACTGTCAATTCCCATTTTGTATTTGATTCCCCATAATTTAATCCCACCCCTCTCCCGAACACCCTAGCGTTTACTTCTTTTACAACCCCATCTATAAATATATTAAACAACCATGGTGACATTACACATCCCTGTCTAAGACCTACTTTTACTGAGAAGTAGTCTCCCTCTCTTCTACACACCCTAACCTGAGCCTCACTATCCTCATAAAAACTCTTTACAGCATTTAATAACTTACCACCTATTCCATATACTTGCAACATCTGCCACATTGCTCCCCTATCTACTCTATCATATGCCTTTTCTAAATACATAAATGCAATAAAAGCTTCCCTGCCCTTATCTAAATACTGTTCACATATATGCTTCAATGTAAACACTTGATCTACACATCCCCTACCCACTCTGAAACCTCCTTGTTCATCCGCAATCCTACATTCTGTCTTACCTCTAATTCTTTCAATTATAACCCTACCGTACACTTTTCCTGGTATACTCAGTAAACTTATTCCTCTATAATTTTTACACTCTCTTTTGTCCCCCTTCCCTTTATATAAAGGGTCTATACATGCTCTCCACCAATTCCTAGGTACCTTCCCCTCTTTCATACATTTATTAAACAAAAGTACCAACCACTCCAACACTATCTCACCTATGGAATTTGTGCATGGGGCTCAACAACAATTAACCATCTCAGACCACTAATTACCCAACAAAAGGCTGCAGTTAGAATGATAAATTCTCACTACAGGCAGCACACTCCACCAATATTCAAAACACTCAACCTACTCACCATACAAAACATCCATACTTATTACTGCACCTATTACATACATAGAACACT